AGGCCTCAAATAAATCCCATCTTCTTGTCCCACCACCTCTCTGAGCGTGATATACCTTCACGTGGGGTGGGGGGAGAACCAGGACTGGGAGTGTGGGAGACTCAGGCAGTTTCCAGAAGGAAACCTGAGGGCAGCAGTTGTTCCCACGGAAAACATTTCACCTGCAGGTGTTGGGAGAGGGCAAGTCTCTTCTCTTAGACCAGAGGCAAGAGGCAGATCAGACCAGCTCTTCCTTTGCCCCTCTAATTCAAGTCAAACCAGCCTTTTGTTCCCCTTTCCCCTCCCCATCCTTTTTTATCCTCTTCCATAATGGGATGTTTAAGAAAAAAAAATAAAATAACCCAACCTCAAACCCTAATCACCTTCATTTGAATTTCAAATATCCCCCTCTTGGCCTCCCCCACGCCCCAACTGACTTGGAGCTGGGAATATGGAAATTTCTCCCGCTTGCCTTAAATGTGGCTGTGCTATGAAAATCATCAGCCCTATGCAAATCCTGAGCAGGCCCCATTGCCATGGCAACCAGCTGTTTCCAGCCCGGCTGCTGCTGCTTGCATCTATTTGGGACGTGTCCTGGGGCTGCTCCTGGCCAGAGGGGGAAAAGTGGAGAGAAATCCTGGAGGCTTGGAGGGAGATTTCACAAGGGAGAGTGAGCAAGCCTCACAGAGCTGCAGCACGGAGCTGCACCCTGCCAGCTTTCCTCAAAACACCGGGGCCTGRCTTGCTGCTCCTAGGCAGCTCCAAAGCTGCAGCAGCAAAAGGCAGGAGAGAAAAGCTCACAGCCTGCATCCTTGCAACCTGCTGAGCAGGGTCTCTCTTACGGAGCAGCGCAACCCCAGCACCACCTGCTCATTTCACACAAGCCATCGCAGTGCAGAGGTAACTTCACTTTGGCCCGAATTGCACAGAGGTGAAAGACCCCATATCCTCTTCAAGCCTGAGCCAAAGAGCTAAAGCAAACCCTCAACAGAAAGTTCAGGAACACAGAAAGGGAACATGCTGACCAATCATGCTCCCAGACCCCTATTCCACTGTGCTCTGCAGCCACACGCAGGGCGAGCATCACCCATGGCCTGAGCTCACACCCTGACCCAGAGGCAGGGCAGGACCTCCACCTTRCGGACGAGGAACACGGGCTCATTAAGTTCGCCTGGGCAGTGTGTGGCAGCRAGACAGCCCTAAGCCAGGCTGCTGTTTTAACCTGTGTCCCCCAGCCTRGCACAGGATTAATGCATCCTGCACAGGCACCACAGTCAGGAGCTGGTGTGCCAGGGCAGGTTATGGCCTGGGTGGGAGATTTTGGTGTCCAGCTGCAGAGCTGCCCTTCTTTTTGCCTCTACTGCCAGGGGAGCTGAGGTTCCTTCCACAGCTGTGGAGGAAGATGTTCCTCACTGAGCCCCTGCCATGGGATGGCTGGAGAGGAGGACCCATGGTGACAACCCAGAGAAAGGAGGGACACCCTGTAAGGCCCTCGCAGCAGATGCATCCGAGCTCCTCACCACYTGAGGATCAAGCCCAGAGGCCAGCAGCCTGGGTCCACAACAGGGTGCTGCTCCAACCAGCTGCCTTCCTGTGGACGCATGGTCTGAGAGCCCTCTTGGGGACCACAGGTCCGTGTCCCACAGGGCTGTCCTGCACCGCAGCCGCCCGGGGCACCTCAGGTCCCCGGCGGTGCCCGGCGCCCCAGCTGGGCGGCTGTCCAGTTCCCGCTCTGCAGGCAGGGAGGGAAGATGCTCTGAGCGCCTGCAGCTATTCAGTTACCCTGGGTTGTGTTTGAAGCGCTTCCCTATCGCCCTTTTGTTAAAGCTTTGGCTTCCCCCCCATAGCCTCAACCGATGAAATCAAAGGGAAGTAGCTCTGCTTGGTGTAACCTGTTTTGATGAAGAAGATAAACGGGGAACAAGTGTCTGACACAAACAAACAGACAGACAGAGGCACGTCCCACCTCAGCGTTTTGTTGCATCAGATACCGAGGGTGAGAGAAACCACAAGAAGGGGGAGATCTCTGCCCCTCGGCTGCAAGACCAGGGGCGACATTCTGCATTGCCAAGCCCCCACAGTTCCCATAAAAAAAACAACCCAGAACTTGCTGGCATGGCTTTCATCAGTTTAAAAAGATGAAAAGAGCTCAGTGCCAAGCACTGAACTTGTGCTGGTCGTTACCCCCCATGGAGGCAGGGGCCCCAGCCAGCCCCGTGTGCCCCACATCCCCTGCACTCTCCCTCGGTTCCCTAGTGAGAGGGGCAGAGCAAAGGAGGGGGYTCCTCTTAGAAAGACCTTTTTTAGTTGTTTAAATAACAGCTTTTCTCAAAATGTTACCAAAAGTTTTAAAGTATTTTCTAGCAAATTGATGTGGAAAAGAAGCAGCAAACCTAGCTTTCCTAGGGCTTTCATCCTGAAAGATGAAAAATATAGACAAATATAAAAGAAAAGAAAAAAAGAAAAAAAGAAAGCAATGAACACTCTTAAAAAGG